AAATGGTTGAGCAGCTACTGAGGCAAGGCAACCAGAAATACCACCACAAATAAAGTGATAAATTGGTTTATAATGACCATGTGTATATTTGTAAGAAAACTTATCAGAGCCTAGTTTAGTGAGATGTTCAAAGGAAAGAAACTGTAAAAAAATATATAAATATTGTAATAAGTATCCAAATAAATGGATTTATTTCTAAGATATTGCATTTGCACCAAATTGTAAGATTCAACTTCCCAGTTTCCAGAACTTTGAATTGAATTATACACACACATACACTTCTTATCGTTGTTGTAACAACACAAATTATATTAACTTTTGATATAGTTGAATTAACTTTTAATATAATTGTGATATGAACTTAATTAAAACAAGTTCCTATATAGGGTTGCATTTTAATTGAAGTTTAATTTAAACTGATGCATCACATATATACATATTTCAAACCACCGCTATCCAAATTTTATCATAGATTGTGTATTAAAGTTGTATTGTTGGCAAAATTTGAGGTCACTTAACAATTTTTCTCATTGTTTGCGCTGTCACAAGTTTTCTCATAGACTGTGTCTTAAGGTAGTAGGATTAGGACTTTCCCCGCCTGTTATTAAGTATGCAGTTATGGCAACGTATGTGTTTACAGAAAGCTGAGATGTGAATACAGTTGTGTATTTTTCAGGTTAATATTTGCTCCAGGGATTATGTTACGGACATTCCCATGAATCTTTTATAAAAAAAGGGTTTTTCTACTTCACATAAAATGTTAATTTTGTGATATAATCCATCTTCAATTTTTCCACATGAGATTTGGTGACTTTGGTGAAGAAGCAACAGAATTCTGATGGGGATATCAGCAAATATTACAAAGGGTTTAAAACAAAATACTGCCAACAATACAAATTCATAAATAGCACAGTAGCAGTTATAAATTTTAGGCAAATGCTAATTAAAATGTATAAACCAAGTGTAGCCTTGTACAACCTCAGTGCATGCATGCTAAAATATACTATAGATGTATTTTGAATGATGTTAATGCCTACCTGTACAGCCCCAAACATAATACACAAAAACTGAGCGGGGACATGCCCTTTCCAAAATGCTGCAGGCCCCTCTTCTTGTAAAATAGTCCTTGTAGCTTGTATCATACCGTGGTATTTAGAAGACTCACCGCTTAGTGGCTCAACTTGCAACTACAGAACAGACGAACAATAATTAATATCAGTTATGCACTATTACAGCAGGCAAATAAACTGATCAGTTTATTTCAGTTCCCGCTATAAACCCAGACTCTTCACATCATAGTAAATTATGCCCCCTTTGTAGCTTCTGATGTTACTACAGCTTGTAAATCTGGACCAATCAGCAAGTCTCCCCAATGTTTTGCAGGAACCAATCAATTGACTTGTACTATGAAGGGGTTGGAAAACCCTTCCCAAATAACAGTTTAAAGGGTGATGGTCGTTGCACCACGCATGTGTGACATTTGTGTTGATAAACATTGATTTTCCCATAATCCAATGGCTATTCTAATGTAGATCTGGAGTACATATTTGACCTGGTCGCAACATACACTAATTATCGCCGGTGGCTCCTTCGATGCCTTCCAATCACCAAAATCAACGAAATTACATAGTTAAAGTTTAGTAACCTCATAGTTTGAACTCGTTAGTCTGCAAGTCGCCATCTTTGTTCATATGAGTCCCATATCTCACGCATGCGTGGTGAAATGACCAATGCTCTTTAATTCTTATTGAAGAAATGGAATTTTCAGTTGGCATCTAATTTACTAACATAGACTAAAGTTAAATATGTGTGGACATGCACACATGAACAAAAGGATGGATGAATAAAACCTAATAAATAAATCCATGCAGACATATCTGTGAAATGACACTGGACACACACAGACAGATAAACAGCATCCAAATATAAATCCTATATATAGACACATCAGTGCAACACGTTAAAAAACAACCAACCTGAAATCTTATTTTCAGTACATCTAAAGGCTGGGCCACACATCTTGTAACAACTCCACTCAAAGCACCAGCAGTAGCGTAATCCCATCCTGTTAATTCTACTTTCTTCTTTACATCAAACCCCACCATAATCAGATTTCCTACAAGAACACAAAACGGATGTTATCCAGGAGTCACAGTATAATTTAGGCAACTGACATCATAATAAAGTAATATATAAACAAGCCATGCATGGCACAGTCCCTGTTAGCTATCAAATTTAAGATATACAGTTTTGTTTATAGTAATATAGCTGGAATATAACCATATCAGGAATATGATTATGATGATTGTTTAACATTAAAATGATTGACATTTGTATCTGGTCGTCAAACGAGTACTTGTCCACATTGGGAGATATTGCTCTGGAACAGCATTAATTAAAACAAAATCAGCCATTTTGAATACATGTATATATCTATAACATGATGTATAACAAATATATAAAATTTGAACATAATCAGTCAAAGCATGTCAGAGATATGGCTCTAGAAGCCAAATCATTAAAACAAAATGGCTGCCAGTCAGCCATTTTGAATCTGATCTGAAAAACAAAATGATGTGCATCAGGAACCTGTAATGTCTAATGTATGAATAGGATTGTTAAATATCAATATCCAATAAAAAAATTGAAATAACAACAACAAATATTGTAGATCCAAAGAGAAAAACAAGCCAAAAAACATACAGAACAATTAAATCTGATAATGAACTACAAAATTGAATCTGGTTACCATAAACGCATCCAACTCATTATAATACTGTGTTCTGAACAGTGCTTGAGTTCAATGCACGATCATACAAACGGATTGTGTGTATGTATGTAAGATTCACTGATATTCAATGTTTCCTATCATTTGTATTTTTTGTCTATTTGAAATCCTGGTCATTTTCATTTGGAAATTTACCTACAAAATTTGTGTTTTCGCATGTCGTTTGCTCATGAACTTCTAAATAACTGAAATGAAAGTGTCAACGATGCACTATCTTCCAAGTCTTGTCGCCTTTGCCTTTCCAAGTTAAAAAGGACAAGCCTAAAAATAGGATAGGTTATTTATTAGAAGCACCCGGGGAACCAAAATTGGGACGCGAATCACTCCGGTGCTGAAAAACAGTGATAATAACCAAGGGGTAAGAGAATTATTTACCTTAGTGATAGCATGGTGATACATGCATTAGTGCATTGCATTATGTAATGCTTTTTGTCACCAATTTCTGATGCATCACACAATTTGCATATTCGCTCAATTTGTGGAATGTTTTACATCTTGCGGCCTGGCAAACAGAGATTATATTGCTAGAAATGCATCATTTGTTGACCATTTATATTCCTAATTACAAGGGAGAGTGAAAAGTTTGCATATACACCAGTAGAAGCACATTTTAGAAGCAAGGGAACAATTTACCGGTCATTTTGGAAATTTTCCAGGGAGTATGTTTATTCAAGGAAGTATGATTATTTGATTTTGAAGATTTGTTTGGGGGGTATGTTTATTTGGGACATGAGAGTATTCATATCTATCATTGAGAAAGGATACTTCACCTAAGATGTTTGGAACATTAAATAATATTACTAAAGACTCTGATTACCTACTGGTACTACCATTTTCTTTGAATTAACCAATTCATCAGGTCTGGCAGTATTGCAGTGGGGGCATCTCAACAGTTGAAAACTCAAGTTTAGTAGTTTTTGCAGTATGACATATAGATATGGATAGTTCATCCAGTGTCTTCTGTAAAATTCTTAACTTTCGCTTGTAATTTATTTTTGCTATTTTCACTGAAGGGAAGATTCAGTTAAAATAAAATCCAGTGAATATACTTTTTTCCTATGTTTTACCCATAACTCATCGAAAATCAGTGAAAATAAACTCCAAACAAAACGCTCAAAATATCATTTCAACGAAAATTAATTCCAGCAAAAATATTTCACAGTAGTCGATTATTATTGTCCATAATAGCAGTTACCCTGGTAGATGCATCGTATGATTTCTAGAAAATCTACACACATATATCAACACTAACTATTGCAAAGTTGACGTCATCAACAAAATAATAAAAAAAAAATGTAAATGTACACTCACCAGTAGGTTAATATGATTCAGAAAAGTTGGCCGTGTTTGAAGCAGACGACGATAGTAATCTTGACAACGCAATATTCTTTGTTGGCACTTTCAGGTAAGATTTATCAAAGCGAATGAATTTCAGTCATACATGTTGCATAACAACTGATCTGCAAGCTACGAACTTCATTGATGATTTCTTTAACAGGCCTCACAACGCACGTACATGCAACCTTCATTTCCATACCATTCCATTTCACTAAAGTTAATTGGTCCCAGTTCATGATACGAGTGTGAAGTTCGCATCAGATTCAGACTCATATTTCGAACTTAGCCTCGGATTCACAACACGCTTGTCAAATTTAAATTGTGATGAATTGTGTAAATTATCCAGTGGTCAATCTGATTAAAATAAAATCTTTTTGTTTTCTTTTTCTTTTTTTAAATTTGTTGTCAACTAAAAATATGTATTTAATTTATTTTATTTTAATTTATGTTCTAAATTTCGGTAATCAAGAAAACCCACAAAGTGGTGAGAACATATGACAAATACACAATAAAAACAAACAAACTAATTGTGTCAAATAAAAATGACATTCATTGATTCAATCATGGAGCTAGAAAGGGATTCAATGCATCATATTTTAAACAGATTGGTACAGAAGTAAATATGATGCTGAGTGAAAAGAAAAATACCAACAAAATTATATTTAAACAAAAGAGAGATTATTGCTTCATTCAGTTTCTATAGTGTAATACTATAATGATCGATGTTGAAAATTTATTCCAATGCCACAAAGTGTGGGGGGTCATAGACTGGGCTGAATCAGGAGCTGTGTTGTGAATCTGAGGCCGAATCTGAGGCGTGAATCTGACGGCAGCTTCATCTCCTAGTCATGCTGGCCTCGTTTTCGATCAGAGACTCAGGGCGCCTAGCTTATTGAGAAAAAATGTTGCAATTAAAATTGGGAGTTCTGAGTTATGACCGATGAAGCAGACATTTTGTAATATTATATTTACAAATGTCATTACTTTTTAAATAAAATTGTAAATGTTTTGATAGTTGAATTTCTGACAATACAATTTTTACTGCAGTATATTTCAGTAAGTTAGAGGATCTTACTTCCACATGATTGTCCATCATGGCGGAGGGTGGCGAGCAAAAGGAGAAAAGTGGCTCGAGTAAAGCCGATAAATCGAAAGAAAATGCAAACATCGCAGCGAGTGACAATAGTTATGACGAAGAACCAGATTTTAGTGACCCAGAAGACTTCGTTGATGATATCAGCGAAGAAGGTATGGTAAACATTCCTTCCAGATTTTGTGTAGTTACGGCTCACATGGTGTTCTTCCCATGCTTAGCAAAATTGCGAAATATTTCCCAGATGTAGTTAGTAGTGTTACAGTCGACATACATTGTTATGCTATTTTTCACGTCGGCATAGATCAGCTCGTTTTAGCAAAATATCAAAATCGGTTAAATCTCGTTCCACTTTTATGCCGCCAGATGGCGCAATTAAAATATTGGGTGGGGTGTAAAATGAATGCAATTTTGACAGTAGAAGATTTTTAGGCCATAAGAGTATTTTGCAATTTTAAACACTAGTATTTGATTAAATTAGTCAGTTTATTATAAATGAGAAGTTAGAAAATAAAGTTAATTTGATCCTTAAATATTTTCTAACTTTTCTAACCTGGAGATGTGGAACCATGGCACAGTCACTTGGGGGCTGAAAATCAATAAATACTAATTTTCAAAAAAAAATCATC